AGGTTTAGATTAGACATTAGGTTTAGATTAGACATTAGGTTTAGCTTAATTATTAGAGATCAATAAAACTGTTGTGTTGTTCATTCACCCCATGTCCTGTGAGTTGATTCTGGCTTTTGGAGTCCTACCCTGTTCTTCAGAGCAAAACCACCTGTCCCTGGAGGCCCTATGAGCAAAGAACGGGGGTGTCAGTGAGATGCTGGGTGCACAGCTGCAACCCTGCTCAAATATGGCGTGTTCTGAGCTGAATAAGGTCCAAGAGCTGCTCTGGCACTCTGCAGCTTTCTGAGGGTGTGTGAGGTTGGAGAAGGAATTGATTCCCTTGAGTTGGAAGCCTTTGCCAACCAAATGGAGAAGGAGATTGGCCAGCAGTTCACTGCGGGGTCTGGGTATGACACTGACACTTCCAAGTGTCCCTTGGAAGTGACACTTGTGTTTCCAAGCCAAAACATCAGGCCTGAAGCTTTCCCCACACATGTACACACGTGCATAAAAGTGTACACACATGTACACACACATACACAGGGCAACACTCACGCACACGTACACGTGCATGCACACGTGTGGCAGACGCACACAGACTGAGCATATACTGAACACACATGTACTGCACACATTTATTGCACACAGGTCTTCCTGGTGTAGATGTGCTTGCTGGTCTGTACCACACCACAGGCGGGGCAGAGTGACCAGCTCCAGTGGCAGGGGATTGTCCCATGTCACAGTGAGGACGCACACTCACAGGCCCATTGGGTGTGGCCCCATTGTGAGGTGTGAGGTGTCCCAGGCTATTTCCAGCCAGCAGGGCCAGCACAGCCCCAGATGCACTGCTGGTTGCAAACCAGAGCTCCTGGTTTGGATCCCCAGCCTTGGGCCTCGCGTGCTACCAAAGGCGCCCAGGCCCTGCATCGCTATGGCACCGCTGCTGCTGGTGCTACTGCTGCTGGGCCTGGCCCCCAGCCTGGCCCGGCCCCTGAGACCCTGCCCAGGGCCCTGCCGCTGCCGTGGGCACCGGCTGGACTGCAGCGGCGCTGCCCTGTCCCGCGTGCCCCCGGCCACACGCCAACGGCCCTTCTCTGTGCTGTGAGTGCCCTGCAGCTCCGGGTGCTGCCCCGGGACACCCCGAGAGCGGCTCCAGAAACACGCTGCATGTGGGGGGCTGATGGGCAGCACCGAGGGAGCAGCTCCAGGCCAGCCCCGCGGCCACCCCACAACCCTGGGGCAGGGGAACGGTTTGTGCTGGGGCTGATGCTCCCAATGGCTTTTCTGCAGGGATTTCACTGGGAATGTGCTCAGTCTCATCCCCCGGCAGGCGTGGCAGGGATACCCATGGGCTGAGAAGCTGTAAGTATCCACCAGCATCGGACACGGCGCATGGGTTCCGGGATCCCCATCCCTCCACCGGGCTGTCGAGCCAAGGCTGTGACAAGCACCACAGGAGTGCTTGCCGCGTGCAGCCAAGGCCGAGCTGCTCAGCAAGGAGGGGTGTGAATCCCCAGAGCTGTTCCACGGTGAGCAGTGCCCGGGGCCGTGTCCCTCCCACCCCCCGGGGCCATCCCTGGGCCTGTGGAACCTGTGCTCAGGCTGCAGTCAGTCAGCAGGCCCGGAGCAAATGCCTGCTCCTGCCATGAGGGTGATGAGCCGTGGCGGGACCGGGAGAGATGCTGCATTGATGCTGCTGCAGGGCTGTTCTCCCGACAGCTCCATTGCCCCTGAGAGCTGTGGGTGCCACTGCCCGTGTCTGTCTCTTGCAGAGTCCTCCAGCACAACAACCTGCTGGCAGTGAAGAGGCGCTCGCTGGAGGGGCTGCTCCTGCTGAGGCATCTGTAGGTACACGCCTGCCCATGGCGGTGGGCACGCCTCCCCCTGTCCCGGCCCTGCTGCCCAGCCTGCCCCAGGAAGGGCTTTATTCCTGCGGGGAATAAAGAGTCTCCTTGCAGGGGAGGTCTCCTCAGGGACACGTGGTGCTCCCATTGCCCCATATCCAAGCAGGAAGAGGCAGCTGCTGCCCTTTCCCTGCACAGACCTGCACGAGCCCACCTGCTCCAGGGGCAAGCTCATGCATTCGTCCCCTCTCAGCTCAGATGCCCCAGAGCTGCCTGGGAGTGAGCTCATGGTGCAGCTTCTCTCCATTGCCCATGGAGACAAGCGGGTACTTCCCATTCACCCACACAACAGGGCCAGGGACTCTGCCCACAAAGGTTCCTGTCTCCTTGTCTGCAGCAGAACAAGCCCAGGCAGTGAGTTCAGGCTGGGACACGGAACCTTTTGGTTTCTAGAGCCAGGCCAGAGGACTCCTGCGCACATCAGAGCAGGGCTGTGCAGGGAGGTGACGTCTAGGAGCTAAGGGAAACAGCCCCATGCTGGTCACACAGGGCGTTTCAGCCAGTCCCTGAGGCTTCACACAAGAGGTGCTGTTGGGGCGTGCATAAAGAACCTGCTCTGTTACCAGAGAGGAAAATCAGCCCTGAAATATCCCTGGTGGGATCAGAGCTGAGAGAACCTCTCTGAGCTGCAGCCGCCCCAGTCACGAGCGTAAGCCTCAGTTACACACCACTGCAAGTCAGTGCCAGAGAGAAACCCCACATGAAATGAGAGCTGTGGCACATCTGTGCTGCCAGTGTCAAAGCACCTGAGAGGAACCAGCACCGTGCAAGTGTCACCAACGTTTTGTGTTCTCCTGTTAACAGGGATTTAGCTTACAACAAAATCCAGCTGCTCGAGGAGCGTGCTTTTGAGAACCTTCCTTTCCTGGAGACCATGTGAGTTATGGGAGCTCCTTCCTGGTGTGGTTGGGGAAGCCTGTTTGCATTTAGAACCTTCTGCTGCGGGAAAATGCTCCTGTTATTTTTAGAACAAGGACTCCAATTTCTCCTGCTGAAGGAGCAGTTGAGCTCAGGAGCTCAGGGCGTGGCTGGTGGCCACACCAGGATGGGGGCCGTGGCTTGTGCAAACACAGCCAGAATAGAAGCTGAGTCTTGAGGCTTGCCGTGCCCTGGAGCAAGCAGAGATGCAGCACACGTGCACTTCATCTCTCCTTGACAGGTTAACAAACAGCAGGAGAGAAAATGGCAGTTTCCTTCCAGTTCCACCTTGGATGTGGCTCTTGCCTACAACTCAGTGCTGCTTCACTCCAGCTTCCTGTGGGTCAGACCCAATTCATTTCTGTGGTCTCCTGTTTCCCCAGAAACCTGGAGGGAAATCTCCTCACCGAGATCCGGAACGACACCTTCCGGGCATGGCACGGGATGCAGTTCCTCCAGACACTGTGAGTGTTTCAAGGGCTAAGGGCAGCTCAGATTAGTGGCACTTTGTCACAGTGTTCTGCTCCCCTCTTACCCCAGATAGACAGCAGCATCAATGCTGAACGACAGTTCTGTCAGGCCACGGCTTTGCCTGGCTGGGTACAGGAACAGAGACAAAGCTCATGGACAATGGGAATGTGAGAAAATAGGGAGTCCTGTTGGAGGGAAGCCACCAGAAGGTGTGAGCTGCAGAGAAAAGAAAGAGATGTTGTGTTTTCCAGAAGCAGCACTTCTGGGCTTTTGCTCTCTGGGCTGGAGATAGTCAGGACCTGACGTATGTTGTGAATCTGCCCATCAGTATATGCCCAGGCCTGGAACCTTCACCCCAGGCCCTTCCTCACACACATAGCACTGAGCCCTTGCCACCGCTGTCATCCTGCAACCCTGCTCACATGGGTATTGGTTCATTTCAGGGTCCTGAGCCGTAACCCCCTGTCTGTTATTGAGGACATGTCATTCTTCAAGCTGCCTTCAGTCGCTCACCTGTAAGTACAGACTCCTTGTTAACAGCTTAACATGGCTCATTGTGTCTCTGGATGTCCTGTGGCTGGGAAAGCAGAGATCCAGCAGCAAATCCTACCCTTCTCCCACCCTTCTGTTGGAGGCAGCACAGAACCAGGCAAAGGCTGAGCAGTTCTGGTGTGTCCCGACTGCAAAGGCAGCAAGGAGCTGGGACTCAGACTTGAACCTGTCTGCATCTGTCTCCCACGGGATCTGCAGGATCCCTTCCTTGTTCAGAGCCATGGGTGGGAGCAGGGCACAGCAGGAAGGAGAGAGGGGGTTCCATCATTTCTCCTGGATTAGGTAGCAGCGGATCCCCCTGCGACCAGCACCGCAAGCAGTAGGGGCTGGGTTTGTTCCTGGAGCAGGGGCTGGTGCCGCCACCTCAAATGTAATGTGTTTCTTGAAACCCTTGCAGGGACCTGGGTGCCACACGAGTGACTCGGCAGATGCTGCTCATGCTGCTCCTGGGAACATCCCGCTTGGAAACACTGTGAGTGCAGGGGCCGGCTCCCACCCCCAGCAGATCCCAACTGCTGGGACAAGGGGTCTGTGTGGGGAACGAACCCACCATCACAAAACTGTCCATTGGGACACTGGGAGTGAGGGGAAGCTTCCCAGAGCTGCAGCAGAGACTGAAGCAGACCCCTGACATGTTTCTGCGCACCGCCTGGGTTGGAGTCGCTGCCCTTGGGTCTCAATGCTGAGTGTTTGTTCACAACCCCTGTTCTTTAGCAAGCTGTCCATCGACACGGCCTGCTGCCTCTGCCAGCACAAGCACAGCACCGAGACCCCGTGCAGGACCCTCAGCTTCGACTGCACGAGCGTGTGCAGCAGCACTGCTCCCCGCTGCGGTAACTGCCCCACGGCCCTGCCCGTGCCCCCAGCCAGAGCGAACCCTCTGAGCCTGCGTCTACCAGAAAAATTCTTGTCCCTGATGTGCTCTCGCTGTGTTACAGCTCCCTTGGCAGAGACACCAGGGCTCCTGACGGGAGCCGTGCCACCCAGGGAAGGGAACAGCAGCTCCATGTTGAAGACCCAGCCCAAGGAGCCCTTGCTCAGGGAGCAGAGAATTGTCACGCTCACGGTTGTCCTGAGGCTGAGCAGCCCCAATGCGTCAGCACCTTCCCCTCAGCAGCTCTCGAGGCAGGAGAGCAACACCGCCAAGGAGCTGGTGCTGATGCTGCAGCGCGCTCAGCAAAGGGGCTGGAACAGCTCCCTTGACACAAAGAGGTTCTATTTTCTAGCAGAGGGGCTCGTGGCACAGCTGAAGAACAAGATGCACAAGGCCACGAGCACCCTCACTCTGAAAAGCCCCAGCACAGCCCAACCAGCACAGAGCGACAAGGGGCAGGAGGTGCCAGCAGGCCAGGGAGGAAGAGCCACAGGCTGGAAGCAGCATGAGCCTGGCCTGCACTTGTCCCGATCACAATCCATCCTTTGGGAAGCAGTGCAGAGGTTGAACATCAGCGACATCCTGCCCATCTCCAGCCATCAGAGAGCACCCACCCCTCCTGCATCACAGCCCCCTACACCATACCCAACAGAGGCCCCGCATCTGGCCCACT